GGGGACCCCGAGTCCTGCCATCATCCAAGGCTGTCGGGGTCACTCTGGCTCCTTCTGATGTCAGGTTGTGCTAACGACCTTTGGACATGGCTGGGTCTGCTGATGGCCCGAAGGTGGCACTGGTGCTGGAGAAGCTTCAGTCATGTTGGTTTCTGTGGGTGTCGTTCAAGGCGGGTCTTTTTTCAAGGCGAGCCCCCGATGGCGGCTCAGATCTTGAGGCCGACATCTCTTCCTGCAGGAGGGCACGTGAGAGGGGCCGTTACTCACCCGGAGGACCTTGTCGAAGGGCTGCTGGCACACGCAGGTCCAGGTTGACTTGGGCCAAGGGCCTGGCATGGTCTTACTAATAAGCGGTGAAGGGGTCGGGGCGCGGAAACATGCCCCAACCCGGGAGGCGTCCATTTCGGGCCTTCGCCTTGGTGTTTGCAGATCACAGGCGAAGGACAGGCGCCTGGGTCCAGGCTCTGGACACACCGGCAGCTAAGAGCACGAGGAAGTCGGTCTGCTACCTGTTAGATTAATCTTCCTCGGTAAGCTCATTTCCCAGGGCTGCTGGGACGGTGACCAGATCTTAAAACGAGAGGAATGAGTTTTCTCACCGTTCTGAAAGCCCGAAGTGAGAAGTCAGGGTGCGGACAGGACGCTTCTGGCTGGGGGTTCCAGGGAACGCACCCCACGCCTCGGGGGGCCGGGACAGCCCTGGGCTGGTGACTGTACACCGCCTCTGCCTTCTCCCCTGAGTTTCCTCTATTGGCTTCTTAACAGGACTTAGGGCCCGCCCCAACCCAGGACACCCTCATCTCAAACCCCTTAACCCAGCGACACCTGCAAAGACGGTTTCCAAGAAGGCCGTGCACTCGGGAGACACTATTCCATCAGCCCCCGAGGTTAAGACACTTGGTGTCACAGATGGCTGAGTTTCTGCTTCCCCAAGTGGTCCAGAGAGAACCTTCGCAGGCTCCGGGGGTCCCCAGGAAAGGTATGACCCTGAAGTGGGCCAAGACCCAGTGGAAGGCTTCGCTCAGAGGTGGGGTGGGGCGGGGTGGGGCGGGGAGCGCTGGACACCACTGCTCGACCCTGGTCCGTTTCCTGCAGGGACTCGGCTGAGGCAGGCGACACGACTTGCTGGCAGAACATCGAGAAGGCAGCTTGGGGTGGCTCCCGCACCTGCTCCAGGCCTCGGTGGCCCCCCGGCTGTGGGACAGTGCTCCCGCGATCGAGCGACCTGGCAAGAGCGACACTGGATGCCTGCCGCCGCCTGCAGCCTGAGTCCCCTCCGCGGCCGCTGGGCTTCAGCGGAGCACGCAGAGCCCACGTGGGTTTGCTCGGGCCGCCTGGACACAATACCACAGACCGGTGGCGCAAATAATAGAAATTTATTTCCTCAAAGCTCTGGAGACTCCAGTATATGGATGTGGGGCGGGCCCAGTGCAGCCTGGAGCCTGCTGATTCTCTCCTCTGACTCAGCCGTGTGCTTCCTTCCTTGTGGTGCATTTCTCTCTCTGGAGGTTTTGTCTTCAAGGAAGCGCTGCCAGGGCCCCAGGAGCCAGGCTGGGCCTCGAGCACCCCACGGGAGCAGGGGTCTCCCGGGGCTGACTTTGAGCCTGGGGACACTTGGCAATACCTGGAGATGGTTTTGATGGATGCAGGTGGTGCTGTAGGCACCCGAGGCCGGTGTCCAGGCCTCCTGATGGGTGTCCACAATCACAGGGTGCCCCTGGCACCCTCCCTCAGAGGAAGGAGAGAAAGGCTGTGGCCGGCAGCTTCCTCTTCCCCCGCTGGCAGGACCATCGCGCACACAGGCTGGAACACAGCGCAGCGCACCTCCTCAGCGCTCGGCCTTCATCCTGTTGAGGAATTGAGCAACCAAATATTCCAAATGGCTTCATTGCGCGGTGCTAACACCGTCATCGCTCAACCTCAGGTCAAGACTTCCATTGTGTTAACCGAAGCCCAAATTCTTGATGTAAATTGCACCTGGGGCTTGTCTCCTACTTCACTGTGTGGCTGAGACATCACTGCAGCCCGTGACTAAGTGCGCACCCAGTGCCGAGGCGAGGCCTCTGCTGCTTGCCCTGCCAGTTCTGAGCTGGGGATTTGTACTATCATGTTGTTGTGAGAGTTTGTCAATAACTGGCTGTCGTGGCCCCTTGATCCATCAGGCCACGAACTATCCAGCGCACCTCAAGTACTTCTATCAGGCCACGAACTA